TTGCTATGCGGAAATGCGCAATGTCTCCGTTTAGCGACTCCGCTCGAAGTCTCTGCTATAGTTGTCTCTGCACACTGGCAGGGTCGATGGTTCGCTCCCTTTGCCAGCTTGCTTTTTTGCTTCTTATGGATAGGCTATAGAAAGGCTACTGACATCAGTTCTCCACCAATGCTCGCCTTTGTATGAAGATAAGTTGAGAGTGAGGATTATGTTGAAGTTAGAGCAATAAAGGCACTTTCGATAAGCGTAGTATGCGAGATGGCGCACCAAAAAACCTTCGCGTCTTCTTTCAGTCATTAAGCCGATATAAAAAACAGTTACCTCAGCCTTAAGGCCTATGTACCGCTGTACAGCTCACTTCGATGTGTCGGACCGACCCGTTGATCCTTCGTTGCCAGACCAAATGGAGACAAATCCCAACAACGGCTTAGTCACTAAATTCCAAGATCAGAGAGTGCTTGCTCAATTCGGAAATCGTGAAGGAAGAATGGCAAATCGATCGTACGTGCAGTGAGCTACTGTTTTATTTTGTTGTTTTCAGATGTGTTTTGTTTCGAAATGACTTCATCAGTTGTTATTGTTAGTGGTAGCGGCTGCAGCAGCGAATATGCATCTTTTCCTCTTCAAGTTCAATTTGTTCTGTTATTCCTAGGGTTCAGATTTGTCCTGTTAGTTTCCCAAGAACAAGAGCCACAAGTGCACTCTTGAGGGTTGGGAGCTAGAACACATATCTCTTCTTAATACAGTACTAGCTGCAAGTCCCTAACCTGGTGCTTCGATTTTTTAGTGTCTTTCTCTATGTCTGCTGACTCAAAAAACGTGTTGGGTGTACTGATGGAGATAGCAGGGAAAATTCTGGCAAAGCAGGGGCTCATAGGCTCTGTGGTACCATTGTTTCGATATCTTACGGCATCAATGTCTTGTGAAGTCATGACCGTCATAAAACCGTCCAGTGGGTCGAAAAAACGACGGAAGCTGAAGGCTCCGCGTGGTGACAAGGTTTTGCATTCGGGATGATGCTTAAGTATTGTCTCAAAATGGTACCCTTGTCGAGCAGGGGATGTCATATTACTATCAGGATTATCAGTAACCCCCATGGTTTTTGCCAAAAACTGATATCAAAAAGGTGTGGCACCTAAGCTATTTTAACCCATTTTCTGGCATTCTGAAGGCCGTTTAGCAAAAATAAATCATAGCTCTGCGTTCGATGTATGTGCCTCTACGTCTGGCAATGCATATCAGGCATTCTTGCAAAAACTTCACTTTCTCGCCCGTAACGAGATGGCTTGGTTGCAGGCTTATTAAATCGAAATCGGGAAATCGACAGCTTTCACAAGTATAAGTGACGTCAATTTTTTTTGCAGTCCTGCCTGCGTAAACTGTTGTGATTCAGCAGAATGACGATAGCACAGTAAGCGATTTCGGCCGATGTCAGACTTTGCGAATCGCGCGATTCGCTAGCGTCTGCGGTCGCGTCGCGGCCAGTGAATCACTCAATTGGCTGGTACCGCAACGCGACCGCGGACATCAGCGAATCACACTGACATGACATTGGCTTTTCCCATAATGGGGTGCATCATGTATGCTTTCAAGTGCTATTGGTTGGTATTCAATACAACGCCCGTATTGCTCAATCTGCATTTACGGCCAAGTCGACACTGGCGATAAAGAGTATGTGAATCTGCTTTCCAATGTCTTCGGTTATGGTTGATTTGGGATGAAATCCACATCCAGACCATGTTTTCGAATGCCTTTCTAAGATGAAGTTCGTAAGGCCCCACGAAAGTTTCTCGGAATTTATATTACCTCTACTATTTTTTATCTCTCTCTACTTCCAACCTTGTGATATTATATGAAAGCAGGTCACTTATTATTAGGTTGTCTCATAAATAGTGTCGCTTTTTTTCAACCAAAAAATTTTCTTCTAAATCCTCATGCTTTTACATCGTTCATATACCATTCGAAAGAGAATTGTCTGCTCTACAAGATGCTATGTTCTCTTCCACCTCTGTTCCAGGGTTTTCAAATTTTAGGCCTGCGAAATGGGAGGTCCAGCCGACAAAAATTGACCAAACCGACAACTAGCTCTAACTTTATTTTCCCTGGGGAGAAATCAATCAATGATGTACCCTCTACTTACTCATGACCTCTTCTAAACATTCCACTCTTAGGTTGCCGAAAAAGCTTTGCCGTGTTTCTTTTCGAATTGGCTGACCGATAAGCCATAGCAATTTTCAAATTAAAAACGCCATTGTTTCATATCGAGTGGTGTTCCTTTTGTGAGCACTTCTTCTGCTCTATTCGCTCATTTTTGTTTTTATGTTTGTTGGGAATTAGTTCGAATTTTAGGTGTTTAGGAATAAGGTGTTTATCCACGAAAGTGACCGCATTTCTTTGAAAAAAATTATCCCTGAGAAGATGAGAAAATCAACCAGGCGTACATTCCTAACTTAGTCATGACTTGTTCTTTGAAATTCTACTAGTTTTTCAATGTCTCGGCTATAAAAAAATTTCGACCTAGATCTCAGGTAATGGTGCTCGACCGTCGAGTTCTGGTTGAAAAACCAGGTCTGGAAATGGAACGACGCGACTTGTTGGGAAACCTAATAGTGTAATGTTTAGAAGAGGTCATGCATAAGTAGAGGGTACATCATTGATTGATTTCTCCCAAGGGAAGATAAAGTTAGAGATAGTTGTCGGTTTGGTCAATTTTTGTCGGCTGGACCTCCCATTTCGCAGGCCTAAATTTGAAAACCCTGGAACAGAGGTGGAAGAGGAACATAGCATCTTGTAGAGCAGACAATTCTCTTTCGAATGGTATATGACACGATGTAAAAGCATGGGATTTAGATGAAAATTTTTGGTTGAAAAAAAGCGACACTACTTTATGAGACAACCTAATACATAGCACATAGCAAACACTAGTTAATGGTGAGAGGCCAATGTTGGCATCAATAGAACATGCACTTGTACAACTGCTAACATTCTAACCACTCACTCGTCTCGCTATGTTTCCTTCTGAAAAAGGGAAACCTACCCCTCGGAGTTTCTTAACTCACGGTGGAATGAGGTCCACAGACTATGATTCTGGTGACGCCATTGAAAAGCGAAATACAAGCAGAACTAAAAATGCTCCAAGCCTGCACTCTTTCAGGCTTTCCTTGATTGTATCGGCTGACTGGTGCACCACCTATGTACAGCGGCTTAGGCCAAATATGTAGTCAATATGACGATAAGCTTCGATATTTTGATGGAAGTGAGAAGTAATCGTGAAACGACAACATGTTAATCATTTATTTTTTCACTCATTTCAGAAAGTAAGTCAGTGCCAGTCGCTTTCCACCGCTTTCCTTGAAGTGGCTCGCCTTTACACAAAAATGGACACAGAGGCGAAAACGGCTAAGAACTAGATGCAATGGCCGCAGCTCCTCAGTAAGATTACCTTCGAGTTTGACTAGGGCAGCTTTCGGGTTTGTCGCTGTGGCTTTTTATAATACATTTGTGCGATAGGGTGCTGGTCCTCTTGATGGTCGTTGAGACGTTAAGGAGCCTCGTATCTTTTTATTTGCCAAAGCTGCGTTTGGACACTGCCGAGTCGGCCTTTCAGTCAACATCTGACAATGGTTAAGATAGCCGATCGAATGAATAGATTCCTGTTTGCCATTTTCGGTTTACGACCAACCATTCTCCACATCTTTGTCGTATTAATGTACATGAGAAAAAGCACCTGGGAAAACATTATTCACACTCCTGTGATGCCCTCCACGATCGTAGTTTTAGAAATATGGTCAAAAACGGGATCCGTTTTTAGAGAGGAGGCCGAGGACAACGCCGAGGTACCTTTCGTGATCAATTCTTGTGCTGTTTTGTTTTGTTTGAAAGAAGGCAAGACTTGTGTTTGAAAGAAGGCAAGAAGACGATTAGACAAGAAGTACGAAGAGGAATTACAGTGGGCAAAAAAGCATAAATAACCGGAAATCCTGTAATTTCCCTTGTGAGGTCGGCCGTGGTATTATGGTGAAAGAGAGCGCTGTTAAGAGAGGGATAACACAAGGAGCACACATACTCGGAAGGGACGGACGCTACGTATGCCGCGATTAATATGACAGCGGTTGCAACGGTCACGCGAACTTCCTCGCTCACTTTCAAGTCACGCCAGCATAACCAGCCGTCTGCTTAGGTGAGCTCCTACCTCAGTCAATGGGAGTCAGAAGAATCTTAAGGGACCTTTGCCTTTGAAAAGTCGCTCCACATTATCACATGAATTTTTGACGTTTTCCAACCGAATTTAGCATTTTCATCCTGATCCAATCCAGGCAAAGCTTCTCTGGATTTTTGAAAAAGTATACAGTGCTGCAAAGCTGCTCGACGATCTCGATCATTTGGATGATTACATGATATGGTTTTTGTGGATAACCACGTTTTTTTCTGAGGGCCGAAGTTTGCAAGGCTTCCAGAATGGGGGGTCTTATTGAAAAAATCACGTCAACTACCTCTGATTCTGCTTTTCATTGGGACGGAATTATATTAAAAACTTCGTGAGCGGAAGTGGTGTAGTGGCACAAGTGCACGCTCACCACGCGAGCGGTCCGGGATCAAATCCTGGGTCGTGAGTCGCCCGGGCCAACCAAGCCTTCCATCCCTCCGGGGTCGGTTAATTGGTACCAGACTTGTCTGGGAGGATAAAAACACTGACTTGTACATCGGCTGGCCCCCGCAAGTCATTGTATAGGCCACATCGCATTCAAACGCCACTGCGAATGTACAAATGGAAGTAGAATTTGTCCCTTCATGATAAAATTTCCAGCTACTGAGAATAACGACACTTCTTTGAAAAATTTTTTTCTAGGGAATGCAACAGAATTCATCACTGTTGTACCCTGTACTTGGTCATGAGCTCTCCCGGAAATTTCATTTTTTCCAGTTCCTTGACGGCAAAACCTTCGGCACTGTTCAGCGAAACGGCTACTAAACATAAAACTCCTTCGAATAAAAAAACGATGTTGAACAAAAAAATGACGCAACTTTTGGACAACGAAGTATATAGAAGAGCTCGTGACTAAGTTCAGGTTTGTTTGATGAAAATAGAGTTTGGATTTACCTAGATAATCTGGTTAGCCACCTTAAAGCACTTATACTCGCCCAAAATTCCATGGGATTCGGGAAAAAATGTGTTAACATGACCCCATCCTTGCTCTCACCTTGAGCAATGTTCAATTTCCAGTTTGCGCTGTGTGAATCAGAAACAGTTATTCGGCCCTCTGTAGGCGCACCAGGTTTGACCAAGAGGAAATAGGAATAAAGAAAGCCAATTGAGAAAAAACATCTGATCACTACGGCCGGTATCAAAAGCAGACCACCCTTGTTCATTTACTACTACTACGAAGAGGCGTTATCAAGCAAAACGTAGAAATTGAAGAGTGTCGTAATAGGTTTTTGCAAAAGAAATGGCGTTTTTGGATGTAAATAAAAGTTGTGTAAAAAGGACAGCAATATCGGCACTTCAGAACAAGAGACGGATTGCTCCTTGTTCCAGCACGGTTCGCCATTTTTAGGTAGAGGTTCGTTATTATGGATTTCCAGAATCGGAATCTTTGGTGGTTTCGCGATCACTCTGTTTCAGCACGCGCTGCGTTGCCTAGGATAAACAGCACTCAAACGAAGTGAGCAGAGGAAGTGTAGCGGGAATGTCGAAGACCTTAAGTTCTTTCTAGATTTTCGCTGTGTTCTAAGTTTGCTGTAGAGTAGCGAGGTTACTATTAGTTTTCTTGCTTTCATGCCGAGGCGATGCGTGACTTGATGTAGAGTCATTATTTGTTTGCGAAGGTCTGAATTTGTAGCAAAGTACGCAACACTAGCAATCAAATGTGGTAATTTTTTTCCCATTGACGAGGAACAAAGAGCGTGGAAACATGGACATGACCCTTCTTGAAACCGCCAGCCTCGCCACACTACCTGCAAAACTTGCGCCACTCTCGGGCTTGAACCCTACATGATAGGACTCATGACCGGTTTTTGCCAGGGCACCCTATCTTATTATTAATCCTAGCCTTCACGCAGTGTTGATTCAGCCAGCGGCAGTGTGGAACGTTCCCGACTATTCATTGGCATAAGATATGATGGAAGTGGTGAGCATCCCCACGTTGCCTGCAAACCTGGCGTCACGCATGAGTTTGAACCTCCAGCATCGCTACCACTGCGCTGAGAAGCCCTACTGTCGACGAGAAAAGTCTGTAAGAGATAGTGGATTACCTTACATAGGTTGCAAAGTTTTGGACTTTCCGACGTACTGATACCGTGAGCGATCGAACACTAACGACCGTAGGTGCTACACCATTGACATCAATGGGAGACATTTCCCTTCCCTTTCCAACACCCTGCTTTGACACACGCAGACTGGCAGTTTGAATGTGGCCATCTAAAGAGTTCTCCGGAAAACCTCCTATAGATAGCCACATCCAATGTGGCAGCATGCCTGCGTCTCCAACTCTAGCGCACTATTACTAGCTTCTCTGCCGCCATCGTTGTTAGTTTTCATATGGCCGCGCTGCCAATCGTTTTAGAGCCACCTGATATGATCACTCCGACTTCCGAGCTAGTTCGAATTCACCTGAACTATTCTAACGGGGAATCTTCGAAAGGATTCCAGAAGTCCCTAGCACGTTCAAGGAAACTTTGCATGTAAGCCTTTATCAGGTTACCACGAGCTTCTGGTCACGTGGTGACTAGCAGCTTAGGTCAGATTACTACCGTCTCTTGTATGCTGAGGCCATAATGAGCTAGATTCTTCACTACGAGATGTCAAACGCATGTGGAACTCAAAGCATCCACATGCACACTCGAAACTTCGAAATTTTTGAAAAGAACAATTGAAACAAAA